TATTTGCTCGAATTTGAACCTTACTCTTCCATAACCTCGCCACTTCATTAACCACTAGAACATACCTAAAGATGTGTCTCCTCTGCTTAATTTAGGTCACAATGACTGGTTTTCTTGAAATTTTTTTATGTTTTTGTGACTCCAACTTTTGTTGTTTATTGGATGTTGACATTCCCATTTAAATACTGGACATTATATCTTGATACTTGAGGTGCTTGATTAACGCAATGTAATGATAGTATCTGTTTATTTTTTATATTTTCCTCAGATTGGAATTGTTATAACATTGAATGCTAAAACAATTTTCATAATCTCGAAGAAAGCACTAAAAATATGCAGTTTTACTAGACTAGCACAACTGCTATTGGACTTCTTACAAAGTGTGTAGTACTAGTCCATTTCAAAGAATCCTTGAACTACATCACTGTTTTAGCCAGTAGTTGTTTTCGAAAAGGTCACTTGGTATGTCAACTTTTGGTTCAACTTGGAGAATTTCAGAGTGGAGAACTAACTCCACACTGTAGGATGATTTAGCATCACCAACATTGGTTACCCTTCTTGTATATGTTGAGAATTTGCTCCGAATGTGATGGAAAATGAAGGATAATTCTTTATTGAATTTCCTGTTAGTTCTGTTTTCACTTTAATATTGTTGAATCTTGGGAGATACACCTAATTTATTCTTTATTGTGTAGGCGAAATATCCTTAAGGACAATGTTCTTGACATGCTTCAAAGCTTTGATAAATCCTATTCCGCATAACCAATTTTTCCATTACGCTTTTCAGCAATGCTGCTATTCCACTGAGGTGAGGACAAGACATTGAGGTGCCAGACATAATACTGAATGTTGATTTTGTGTTTTCATTGTTCTCTGCAGTAGTAGGCCAAGCAGCAAGAACATTAACACCAGGACCAATAATATCAGGCTTCAAGATTCCAGGACTGGCGATATTTGGCCCTCTAGCAGAAAATGAAGCAACCACTGGTGCACTTTTTATTTGGATATACTATAAACCATGCATATTGTTATAGTATTCTTTATGGAATAATTATTTATTTATTTATTCAATTTAATAAAGTTTTATTTTAAATAGGTCATGTATTTGTCTATATGTCCTTTGCTTATATAGTAGATGATTCAGTGTATAGAGTTTAGTATATATACGGAAGATTAAACAATCAGTTCTTATAAGTCATAAAGTTTATGTTCACAATCTAATGATGAAATTGGACAAACCATTGGAATGGTTGTAGTACAAGATTAAATATAATTTATCTTGATTATGGGAATGGTTTAATTCCAATTTCTTGTGCTAGTACATTTTGTATGTATTGAACGGATCAAGTAGAGAAAAGTATTTTATAGTGATTTAATAAAATAATTTCTCCAATCCATTCAATGTACCTATACTCTTAATCTTGATATAATTATTATTCGTTGTGTGTGTCATTTATTGTTTTGATTTATTAAAAGGCGAGATTGTTTCGTGGGTCAATAAGCCTAGTAAATTGGATAATAATGATATACATTGGCGAAGTAATAATTAGTTGATAGAATCCATGTCTCGGCTTTTGAGATTGATGATATTCCTTTATGAAAGCTTATAAGTTTTCATGTGTAAACTAGGCCGGTGGATTTTCTATCCGACACATGAAATAAGTTAAGCGAAAGTCTAGAGGAAGTAATCAATAAATTAAATTATAAGTAATTTAATTTGATTGATTATTATCTGAATCTTAACATGGGAGTTAAATAAGGTTTTATGGAAGAATTTTAAAATTGGACTAAGGAGTGCAATTACGAATTTTTAGTGCAATAATTCGTAATTTATTATGGTAGAAATTAATTTCGAAAAATTAATTCTGTAATAGTGAGCCTTGTTAATTAAATTATGTGGTCCCTATTGTGCCTAAATAGTAGGAAATAAAGAAAATCTTTCATTTGTGGAAAAAAAAAAATCTAACAGGTTTTGAAAAAGGGTTTTACCCTAAAAAACGTGGCTATATATATCTCATATAGGGCTAGCTGTTTTTTTTCCACTCGTTTTTCTTGGAATTTCGCCCACCCGAAATTCTCTCTTTCCGAATATTATTTGAGTAAACTGTGGAACATTTTGCTGAGGTCGCGGAAACCGAGATTAATTAATCTGTTTTGTTCACGATTCAAGAGGTAAATCGTATAATCCTTTTATGTGTTAAATGTTTAATTTACACGTGAATATATTATTGTTCCTTGGAATGTAATTCTAGCAACAAGTTTCTTTGTTGAATTCATGTATGCAAGAATTTTCATTCCATCTGCATAAGTAACATCCAGGGCATGCAGGAAGGACGTGAGCATCGGCTGACATTGTGAAACCATCTTCCTCTCCATTGATGATAATCATGCCAACACCTCCCGAAAACTTTACAGTTTTCTCAAATCTTTTAATCTTTATCAATTTTATGTGAAATAGTTTGTGAGCTTACACCCTATCAGTAGGGCACCACCTTTCCCCCTCCTCCACCCCTGATGTAATAAAAATAAAAAACAATTAAAAAAATCCGTTTTTGCACAACATATGCAGCGTGATATCCTACAAGCGGGGTTTGGGGAGAGTGGGTAGACGCAGACCTTACCCTATGAGGTAGATCTTTACTATAATTGCCAAAACTTGATTTCTCTTAATTGTCCTCTTGGTTTACTAACAAGATTGCAATTGTTATTATATTTGAATTTGCATTATTCCGTGAAGGGTGACAGTTTCAACTTGAATTTTAGATTTTTGGTTAGTTTTGGCAGACATGCTGCATAAATTATAAATAAATTTTCTAATATTAACACTTGGTTTTTTTTTATATTTTATAAAATCACTTCATGAATGAAATTTGAAACTCTTATCATTTGCTTAGTAGTTAGAGTGCATATGAAAGGATTTAACTTACATACAATATACTGTATAATTTAAGATGTTGCAATAGACTATCGACTTTATTTTCTAGTTATCTTTTAAATTACTTGATAGCTGTAAGTATATGTAAGTCAAACTCCATGTGAAATTAACTTAATTGAAGAGAGAATCATTGGGATTGATTTTTGCAGAGTAATGTGCTAAACTGTATTGAAGGCGAACATTGGCGTAATTGGTAAAATTGTTGTCATGTGACGGGGAGATCACATGTTCGGGCAGTGGAAACAACCTTTTGCAGAAATGCAGGGTAAGGCTGCGTACAATAGATCATTATGGTCCGACCCTTCCACGGACCCCAGCACATAGCAGGAGCTTATTGCACCTGTATTATGTTTATGGCCAGCCTAATTTGACCTAATAGAATTGTGGAAGAGTTGGATCTAAGGAAAATCCTTTTTAAGATGAAATCTTTAGAATATTGCGTTGATATTAAACAAGAAGGAAATGACTCTACTTTTTCTTTTTCTAATTGAAAGTGGTTTACCTTTAAGATAATCTTTTCTTTTTTGTGAAGTTGTAGTGGATAAAGTGGATGTTACTTTATTTACTCATTTGATGTAGGAGTTGGTCTCTGTTATTAGTGGCATGCCTTATTTCCTATTGGTCGAAGGTCCAAATATATCCATGTATTTTCGAAAATAGTCTAAAAATATCTCTTGTTATACTATTGGGTTATCTATACCCCTGCAGTCATACTTTGGGTTCAAATATATCTCTCATTTAAACGGAGGGACACGTGTCATCATCCTGTTGGTCAATTCTAAATATCTCCTAATTAATTAAAAAGACTCACTACTCATACCTGAAAAGCAATTTTCAAAAGCATTTTATTTTTTGTAAAAACTGGAAAAAACTGAATTTTTTTTACTATAAACTGAAAAAAACGAAAATATATTTTTTTTCAGTTTTTAAAAAAAAAATTGCTTTAAAAAAAACTGAAAAATAATTTTCTAAAATAATTTTTTTTGTAAAAACTGGAAAAAAAACTGAAAAATAATTTTCTAAAACTATTAAAAACTGGAAAAAAAACTGAAATTTTTTAAACTAAAAACTATAAAAAAAAAAAAAATATTTATTTTTTCAGTTTTTACAAAAATATTACTTTATGCAATTTTAATCCTATACAAAATATTAGAAAAAGTTAAATAAAGCAGGTGCACCCATCCTTAAATCCTAAACTGACATCGAAAATTTCAATCAAAGTTCAACGGAAAGAGAGAAAAACTCAAGTTGGCCAGGTTGGGGCGGATGGAGATACAGGGCGGGTGAACGCGGGTGAAAATACTATGCGGGGTGGGTGGGACGAGTTGAAATTTTGTGGGTTTATACAAAACCGGCACCGTACCTACACCACACCACTTACCATCCCTGTATCCGTCAAAATAATAGCTTGAGGTGCTTGATTGACGTAATGTAGTGATAGTACCTGTTTATTTTTTATATTTTCCTCATAGATTGGAATTGGAATTGTTATAATTTTGAATGCTAACACAATTTTCATAATCTTGAAAGACTAAAAGCAGTTTGGATGAGAAAGAAGTACATTAGATCAGTCTACATTTAATTTCATAATCATTTGGTTTTATTTTAATCTGTAATTTGTAGCATTTTAAAATTGAGTAAATCTCGGTATACTGCGCTGTCTAGTTCCACATGAGAAAAATAAAGCCAGTAACAACAATTAAATAACAGTTATTTCATTAACAACTAAAATGGTAAATACAATGTTTTAATGAAACTGCCACAACTAAAAATAGATCAAGTAATTGCAAAAGCCTAACTTTCCAACAACAAAACAAGAACATACCCAGTATAATACCACAAATCCGATTTGGAAAGAGTAATGTGTACGCAAATCTTACCCTACCTTGTAGAGGTAGAGAGACTATTTTCGATAGACCTTCAAAAAACCCTAACTTTCCATGCTGTAAAAAACCGAATCATATCACACACGAACCTAATTTCAAATTCCAACCATCATGCTTGAACTTTCTAAAACCAATAAATAACACTTCTTGTACCTAAAGTTAGTGCTATATACCTGCATTATCCATAGACTTGGTCAATAAAATGTCATCACCTCATGTAGCAGACATAAACAACTTAGAAACAGAATAAAAGAGAAAATATATACTGAAAGATATAATTAAGTAAATAAAAGTGTATCCTTTCTAACAGTTTAAGCTTTTCAACATGAGGTGGACACACAATTTAACATGGTACCAAAAAACATAGAGGTCCTAAGTTTTAATCTCACCACCACCCTTCATCAAAAGAACTTCCTGTCCTTGGACCATCAAAAAGAATCAAATGTCTTGCTTAGAATGTCAGCGACATTATTAAGTAGATAGAAGTGTGTTCTCAATAACAACTTGAACTTTTAGATAAGATGGTCATATACTTAGTATTTGCCACCTCCCAACCAGCAACAGGTACCAGGTAACTCTATCCACCAAGGCTTGGATAGATGGGAAGAAATCACCTAGTATTTGCCTCCGCTGGGATTTGAACTAGAGACCTCATGGTTCTCACCCACTTCATTGACCACTAAGCCACACCCTAGATAAGATGGTCATATACTTTAATAATAAAGCTTTACATACATTGCAACAACAACAATAACATACATAGTATGATGCCACGAGTGGGGTTTGGGAAATGTGGGATGTACGCGGACCTTACCCCTATCTTGTATGAGGTAAAGAAGTTGTTTCAGATAGACCCTCGGCTCACATGATCCTACATGCATTGATCCTACAAATTTTACTGTGTAAATTTTTCGGACTATCACAGGAGCAGTAATTGTATTTGTGCCATATCATAGATATGAATAATTCACAAAATCCTAGTAGTTTTCTACTCTAGTATAATTATCCGTTAGAGGAAAGTAGCACCTCACTAGGGCATAATGCAGTATCTTTGTAACCAAGAGGAAAAAAATAAATTGCTTAGTAAATCACGCAAAGGCATTTACAAAGGATACCTTCTTGCCAATTGGTATCAGCAACTAATTTTTCTTTGTCCAATCCCCAGCATCAATTCCTAGAAATTTTGGAAAAAACAAATCCAGCTAAAGAAATAACATCTAAAAGGCAAAATAGTATTGTCTTTGTACAGGTTAGGAAGCAATAGTAAAGTTAAGATCTGAAGAACCAACAAATTAATTTAGTGTAACTAGATCTTACACCAAGACATCGTGTCATCTACAACACTCATATTTGAAGCGTCTGAATTTTGGTAGTAGTAATCTTTAATCCAAGATCATACACAAACGACATAGTTAAGGCTTCTAACCTTGGGAAATTGAAGAAAGAGAAGTCATGAGCTGCTAGCCGGCGCAGTCAACGTAAAGTACTCTCTGTAAGTGTCAACACGAGCTGTTTGAACTTGATACGACAATGACCAATGTATTGGCTAACCTTTTCCAAAAAATATAACCATAAGTATAATAACTTAATAAGCGATCAGCCAAATCCTGGAGGCACGTCAGGATCTTCATCATCAACTTCATCTGGATTCTTCTCCTTCGTGACAATAGCAAAGCCAGGTGGTGCATCCACATCCATACTGTCAGGCACCAAAGGGTCAGGTGCGCGGTTCGTCTCCGGCTCGGTATATGTTTCTCTGGCTTTTTCATCAGCAGGAATAGGAAATCCTGACTCCTCTTTGGGTGATTCCTTATGGTTACTTTTGTTAATCTGATTTGAACAGTTACTTTTGCTGTTCCGATCTGAACCTAATCGGGCAAAACCAGGAGGCTCACTTGGCTCTGGTTCAACAGAAAATGTGGCATCAATACCACGGTCTGAAGCAGCACTATGTCCGTTAGTTTCAACTCCATTCGGAGCAGGCTGCAATTCTGAATGAGAGGATGATTCACCAGCTTCATTTAGTTGTGGGTTCAATAACTTATTGTAAACTGATTGAACAGTTTGGGTTATCTCAGTTTGAATGCCATCACCAGTTCTGATTGTATTCCATAAATCCTCTGAAATTTTACCCATGACTTTGTCCCTATAGTTCAGAACCAAAGCAGGTTAAAACTGTAGCATGTGAAAGCACTATATCCAGTAATAAAATTAACTTTGCATATCACTAGTTGAGATGCACGGTCACGATTCGCTTCTCGAGTGAAAGGGAAAAGGGGCCACAAGCAATGGAGCATTCAGTAATTCATCACTTACCCCCCAACCCCTGCGCCCACACACACAGTTATGCTGCACTCATAAAATTTATTTTTTATTTTATTAATATACAATTACTCCCTCAATACCAAATTGAATGCCCAGATTGTTTTAGAACATGTCAAAACAATTTCCACTCTCCAGAAAAGAAACTTCCACTGATTATCCTATAGCAATAAACAATACAAGAGGCAGATTGTTTTACCACTTAATCGACCTATATCTATTTATATTCCCAACATCTGCTTTTTCACTTAAAACTAAGTAATAGACAACTTCAACTGTCCCTTAATTGTCACGCCACGTCAGACGTGACAGTTTGTTTGGACAAGGGTAGAGTATTCATATTTTGTCAGGAAAAAAAGCTTTCAAAAGCCACACAAACCCTTCAATTCTTGAATTAGGCCGAACTTAGTCACATTTTGAATTTCATGAAAATTACAGCCTAAAAGGATCAAGAAAGAGCTCATTTATGATAAAGAAAATCAGCCTTGAGGGAAACAAGAATGAGACTATAGCCTGTTTGGCCAAGCTTTTTTTGGGGCAAAAAGTGCTTTTTTTTGGCTAAAAGCACTTTTGGCCAAAAATTGAGGTGTTTGGCCAAGCTTTTTTTGGGGCAAAAAGTGCTTTTTTTTGGCTAAAAGCACTTTTGGCCAAAAATTGAGGTGTTTGGCCAAGCTTTTGGAAGGAAAAAAAGTGCTTTTGAGGAGAAGCAGAAGCAGTTTTTGAGAAGCAGAAAAAAGTAGCTTCTCTCCAAAAGCACTTTTCTGAGAAGCAGTTTTGAGAAAAATACACTTAGAAGCAGTTTTCAAAAGCTTGGCCAAACACTAATTACTGCTCAAAAGTGCTTTTCAAATTAATTAGCCAAACACAAACTGCTTCTCCCCAAAAGCACTTTTTTAAAAAGAACTTTTGAGAAAAGCACTTTTGAGAAAAGCACTTCTCAAAATAAGTTGATTTTAGAAGCTTGGCCAAACAGGCTATAGAATAGACAAGGAAATAAATATAAATATAAAAACACATGCCTAAGTGCTTAAATAGACAACACCAGATATTTTTCTTTACTAAGTTTTTCTCATCTATCTTCTTTTCATGTTTTCCAGAATAATCTAGGATACTTCTAAATTCAACAAAATAGACAAATGAAAGTATAAAACCTCCCCCTCCCCGAAATAAATACTACTCCCTCCGTTCCAATTTATGTGAACCTGTTTGATTGGGCACGGAGTTTAAGAAAAAATGAAGACTTTTGGAATTTGTGGTCCTAAACAAGTCAAAAAGGGGTCCAGATTATTTGTGTGGTTATAAAAGCTTCACATATAAGGGAAGAATAGGAAGTTTAAGCTAAATTGTTTCCAAATTTAGAAAGGGGTCATTCTTTTTGGAACGGACCAAAAAGTAAATAGGTTCACATAAACTGGAACGGAGGGAGTAGTACTTAAGTATCAACGAAAATAATTAAAAAAATGTGTATAAACCTATTCGAAGCATGTCTGAACACAAGTTTGGAGGCCAAAGTCATTCTAAAAGTAATCGAATCAAACAGATTCTAAGCTAGTGAAAACATAAAGAAACGGAAATAACCTACTTGAAGATACCAATTTAAAAAATATTTGGTGGTGGTGGTGGTGGGTGGGGGGGAGGGGGGGAGGGGGGTCAGAGCTTTCAGCGTTTAGGTGCTTCTAGTGTCTTAAAGAGAACATCAAAACCATTGGAAACTTTGAAAATATGACCTACCCAACTTCTTGATATATAGCATCCGACAGTTGCCTTGGTTTCATATTTTCTGCACCTGGACGGTTAAGTGCTGCTGATTCTTTCACAGTGGCTATTATGCTATTCCGCAACTCTTCCTGGAGCAAAACAAATTTCAGACAACTTGGAGCATATATAAAATTAAAAGTGTAATAGCCTCATGCTTGTCCTTTTCTTTTTTCTGAACATAAAGTAAAAACATGACATACCCAAAAGCCAAAAGAAATGACATACAACAAATCCTCCTACATCGTGGATACTGCAAAGTGCAAAAAAAAAATCATGCTGTTGAATTTTTGGTCAACACAAATCTTACCTTTAGTTTCTAATATCTAGAATAAAACACAGGCAAAAAGGCTGGAGATGTTGGTTCAAGATAATCGGCATCTTTGAGAAGATAGTTCAATAAAACTTAAAACAAATAATTTGCCCTACCTCAAACTGATCCCTAACATGCCCACTACGACTGCGGCTACAATACTATGTATCAACGATAAATGAGGAATGGATAGAAAAATGTGCAATGCGCACGATGTTTTTGCGGGAAAAAAAAAAGCAATTTCACTTTAAAGCAAATGGTTTTTTTGGGTAAACCACTCATCATATGTTTGAGAAGATAATGTAAAAACCGCTCATCATATGTTTAACACTAACATAGTTAGTAGGAGACAAGAACCTTCACAAGTAAAAGCGACGGGACACGAATAATGCACAAATTTATAAAAGGGCATCCCTAAAGGGTGTGATATAGACAGTCTGCCCTAATACAAGCATTAGTGGCTGCTTCCACGGCTCGAACCCATGACCTATAAAGCATAAATTTATAAATAATTTATTTGGCGTTAACCTATTCAAAGATATTAAATGATGTAAACAACATTTCATCAATTTCGTTGATTCTAAACTGAACATAAAATGGTCATTTAGCATAAAAGAACCAGTTGGAGTAGTTTCATATACTAAAGGAGCATTATATAACTACGAAATCTCAGAATTTGATAGAAAACACTCATCATATTCTTTAACAAATTATGCTTATCTTACTTCTCAATTTGCAGCTAGGTGAACTTGATCAACACTTGAATAGAACGCTATAAATTTTGGATCCATGCTTCCTATGACTTTAAACACCGGATTCAAGTATATAGATAAAGTCCCATTTTCTTATAATTAAATAAATTAACTAGCCCCTCATACCCTTGTACTAAGTAAATACTAAATAATCACATAATAACTTCAAAACTAGAAGTGCATCGTTTACCTTCAACATGAAAAAGGAAGATCTCTTTGATCTTCGTGTATATGGAGATATACCAAAGGCAAGAAAGACGTTTTAACTTTATCATGAATAGTACGTCGTTCTCAAGTTTTCTATGAGAAAATAACTGTTCAGCTCTAGGAGAAACGATGTTTTAAATGATAATGAGCATGAAGATTTTTTTTTTACCAAGCTTAGGCAGATATGTTATGCTTTGGGAAACTAACAGTGAAATTTTCTCTGCCCCCTTGCCCCACCGCAAGCATTAGGAAGCACCAACATCAAATTTAATCAAGTTTGACACCACATTAATTCATGTACGACAATAATACAGTTAAGTCCCAGCTATTGTCTTTTAAATTTGAACTATTGGAACCAGATATTTTGGAGAGTGATTTTTTGTACTAGCAAGCACTTTATTTTAGGTGATTCCTGGATGCTCAATATGATGTCACTTAATAGATTCTTTATGATGTTGGACCCGTGAAGCTATCAAAGTTTGTCCCTTATGCCTATAGTTTATAGTATCTAATCTAATTTTCATATTTTTTTAAGTAAGAACTGGCAGTTAGTACAGTTCTAGTTTTAAGAGTAGACCATATACAGATATAACATCATCTCCAATACATGTCATGCCCCCATAATATTTCAAAATTTTCATGCCAGGTCCATTTCCATGTTCAACGTAATGCTAGTGTGATGTATTTTTGCTTAGCTTCTAACTGTGTATAAAAATGTGCACATCTCTTCAAAAGGTGCGCCTTTGTGGAAGGTTAAAAGTTTTGACATTCATTGGAAATAAAGAGATTGGCTATCAACAGAAAACAAACATAACAACAACAACAACAACAACAACAACAACCCAGTAAAATCCCACAAGAAATATAACAAAATACTTCCCCGAACCTGGGGCACCAAGTCAGTTTCACCTTTTACAGCTCTGCCCTAGCCTAAAAGTCCAGGCTCATTGCTAAACCCAAATATAACTAACAACTCAAACTATAGAAAGAAAACAATCAAAACTGCAAGTCTGGTCAAAAAAATTTAATTACTTATACCTGAATATCACAAAAGTAAAGTCCAGACCATACATAGGTGGGCTGTTACAAGACATTGTTGTAGGGATTTTCTGTATTACAGTTTCAAACTAAAATGAAGCATATTTTTGTTTTTCAATGATGTTAAGCCTCCAAATGAAAGCCGAAACAAGCATAAACATATACATAGGACGTGCACTACAAAATTAAAGTTTTAACTTTTATACATTGATAATGGATCTATGAAGTTACTTAAAATCCAATTGCAAATAGCAGCCTAGTTTAAGAGTGGATGTGTAACCTAGAAAAAGGGTTAGAAAATTGGTAAACCAGCTAGTATGGGTATATGTTGCGCGGACTCTCCAAAATGATGCCGCACCCGTGTAGGATCCTCCAAAACTACACTACTTTTGGAGGATCCGACACGCACCCGGCGACATTTTCGGATAGTCCGAGCAACATAGATATGGGTTGGGTTAAATTTCTGTTACAGTGTAACAATTCTTTAAAGTCCATTGACTCTTTGAATTTTAATCTGTTGACTCTCGGATCACCATGATCAACATTTGCTTCCATCTGTTGGTATCATAGTTAGGTCGGCTATACCATTATGCTCATGAGTAAAACCTTAGCTTGAGCCTACCTTTGAACACCTATGTTTCTCTTTAGAAGGCACCTGCTCCAGATAAACTACATACCTCGCCTTCCAGGTATATAACTGAAATCCTAAAATTGATCTCTAATCTCCAATCAGTGCCAGAGGCCAGAGCCACATGCAATGAATGGGGAAGTTATATTGCGCAAATAGGGTAAGAACAAATTCCTTTGTACTAATAATTATTTTTAAATTCAAACCACATGTATTTTCTTTTTGAGTTGAAGTTATATACACCGTCATTATAAAGAATCTTTACGTTATCAGTTCAACCAATACCTGTGGGAATATACTTGGTTTATTGTTGTTGTTGTTATCCGTTCAACCAACGGATATTTACAGATAAGCCAGCCTCCTTAAAATATAGGATTTGTTATCTTTAAAGAAAGATAGGCTACCTGCTACAACAGATAAAGGTGACCTGATAAATTCCTTACATTGGTATATATAACTTAAACTCTTTAACCTATTATAGCAAGTTAACTTATCAATTATTCTGGATTACCAATCAATGCTATCAAACAGAATCTTGCCATTATTTTTTAAGTGACCTTCAAAATATGTTTTATCTCGTCGGTGCAACTTAAACTCATATGTTTAATAGTTTAATTCTATGTACACAATCAGGTCACTTACTCTATTAAATAGAGTTAATTGGTAACCCAGAATAAATGTTAGTAACATGTTATAATAGGTTAAATTACATGATAGTGTGAAAAAATTATTACATTATCACTCTATCACATGTAGGGGTAAAGACTGCATATACAATACGTTCCCTTACATTGGGGATGTTATTGTTGTTGTACTCTATCAGACCCTAACAAATATAACAATACAGAAACCGAAGATAAATAAATTTTAGCCCAATGAGAAACCCTAAATAACAAGCTATAATAAAAGGAAAAAAAAAAGCAAAATACTGACGTTTTCTTTGAGTTTGCGGAGAATTTTGAGGCGAAGTTTATCGAAATCACCGTCGTCTTTGAGCTTACATATTACATCTTCAGCTCTTACTCTTTTCCCATTCGTTCCACCACCACCACCATTCTCCATTGCTGTGTCGTAGAGCTAAAAGACAAATCTATAGGAGTATATATTGGACGTAGAACTTTAGAATAGTGGGGAAAATATTATTTTTTGAAATTGTTGAGTGGATTTTGTTGCTCTGTTAACAATTGTTGAAGAGGAGGAAAGAGTGATTAAGATTTGGACAGATGGTGTCGCTTTTAAAAAGACAAAAATTAAAAAGTAAGCTTTATACATTGTTTGGATAGTTGTTGCTCCTTGTATCCTATTGCATTGTTATTCTAAAATAATATTTATTTTAATTATTTTATTAAAATTGATTGTATTGTATTATTAGATATATTATTCCAGAATAATAAAAAAAGTATCGTTTTTTGAAATAATCGATTTGGTGTGTTGAGATTGTTTTTTATTTTCCTTTCCAATTATGCCCTAACTTATTATTCCATAATTCTATTCTACCGTTTACCTTTTTTTTTTTTTTTAACTTCAAATCTCCCACATATAACCTTCTTTGTATTCGTCCCTTTTTTTTTAGAAATTATGTTGCTTCCGACTACAACGTAAAATTGCTAATTTTATTAGAATTTGCATGAATTTAATTGCTTAATCTATTTATAAGACATATTTGGTGATAAATTAGCATAAAAGAATTTTCTTAAATTATTTTTATGCGTAATTCTTGATAAATTTAATATTTAAACAATTGAGGGTATTTTAGTAAACTTATCAGTTACAATACAATACGATACAGTCAAACCAAACAGCAAAATGTTATTTAATAACCGCAAACAATACAATCTATCCAAACATTATATTTATAAAACGATACAATACAATACAATACATTATAAAACGATGGGTAACAACCATCCAAACAAGCTGTTAAGTTGGGTCTGCTAAGCCTAAATTACCTTGTTTTTCCTTTTCTTTTTTGTAACGACCCAACTTGTCGTTTTAAGAATTAACGTCCCATTCAGCGACTTAAGGTCTCGAGTAGTTTCGTAATATGTATTATGACCCGCGTGTGCGGTCAAGTTTGATTTTCAGAAGATTCATAATTTAATTAAAAGAACAATTCTCATTTTGAAGCTTAAAATGAAAAGAGTTGACCAGAGTTTGACTTTTGAACAAACGACTCCGGAATAGAATTTTGATGGTGCCAATAGCTTCGTATGGTGATTCGGACTTGGGCATGTGTCCGGATTTGGATTTGAAAGTCCATGTGACAATTTGACGCATTTTGGCGAAAGTTAAAAAATGGAAGATTTTTAAAAGGTTTAACCGGGAGTTGACTTTATTGATATCGGGGGTCGAAATTCCATTATGTCATTTATGACTTGTGTGCAAAATTTGAAGTCATTCCGGATTGATTTGATACGCTTAGGTGCAAATTATAAAATTTGAAAATTTCATAACTCATAATTCGATTAGAGGCGCAATTCGTTGTTTCGGCATTGTTTGATGTGATTTGAAGCCTCGACTAAGTTTGTATCATATTTTGGGATTTGTTGGTATGATTTGACGGGGTCCCGAAGTTTTTGGGTGTATTTTTGGATTATTAGTTGAGAGACTAGTAAAGTTGAGAAATTTGGGAGTTTGACCATGGTCAATATCGGGTCAAGACGACCTATTTTCAGTGTTTTAAATGCGCGAGCAGGTCTGTAGCATGTTTTATGATTGAAATTCATATATGGTTTGTGTTCGGGAGGTTTCGGATGAGTTTTAGGGTGAGTTCGGATCATTTTGGAGAAATTTGAGTTTGCTGGTTTCTGGTGAGGTACTGTTCATTCGCAATTGCGAACCATTTATCGCAATTACGAAAATACTGTTCACTCACAATTGCGAATAATTTATCCGCAAATGCGAACGTGGACAGAAACTTAAGGATTGAAAATGTGTCATTTCTTCATTTTCAATTGGGATTTTTGAAGCTAAGTTTTTGGGCGATTTTCAGGATTTCTTCATGACTTCGACTGGAGTAAGTGTTCTACATCCGAAAGTGATTATATTTCATGAATCTATGATTATGTTCATCATTTATTTCGGATTTAGATGGAAGAAATTGGAATTTTCGTAAAACTTTCCAAAAACAAAAATTTAAGATTTGAAGGTCCATTTGTCATCGGAATTTGATAATTTTTGTATGGTTAGACTCGTCTCGGAACGCGTATTCAGATTTCGTAAATTTTTCGAGATTCGAGACGTGGGCCCCACTATTATTTTTTTAGATGAATTTTGGTATTCCGAAAAATTAGTAAATTCATATGGAATTAATTCCTACGATTTGTATTGAGTATATCAAATTAATTATGACTAGAAATGAGACTTTCGGAGGCCAATCCGCGAGGCAAAGGTACATCGGAGTAAAGAATTTTACGATTTGAGGTAAGTATGTTGCCTAACCTTGAGTGGGGGAATTACCCCTTAAGCATTGAATCTTATGTGAAAAACTGTGTAATTGAAAATTATGTACGCGAGGTGACGAGTACGTACTTGGTTTATATGTGCAAATTATATCGGCTAAAATTCTTAGACGCCCTTATGTACTAAATTAAAAATTATTGGCACTTATTAAATCCTCTATTTGTCATACCTAAATCCTTGTTTGTTGAATTTATTTTTATATGATGATTTGGTGTGATTGCCACCTTGATTTTATGTGAATCCCGTGTTTTTGTTGAGTTGATATTTTCTGGATATAATTTCATTCTGGATTATTTATTTGTAAATAATTTATTAAATAATATTAAAATAAGACATTAATCTATTTGCCACAAATTTGGATTAAAGAAGGCGTTGTTCCTTGATGAATTACTTTCTAGTCATGTTGTTGAAATTGGTATTGAGTTATAAAGGTCGTAAATCATACTGAGGCAAAGTGTTAAATTGTAAAATATTATTTTGTTGAGTTGTTCACTCCCGAATATTTTGTTAAGATTTTGTGCACATTATGGTCGAGCCATGAGCTCCTTATTGTGGAAACTAATGTATTGTTGATTTATGTATCAAGTTGTAATATTTGAACACTTGATGTATAATTTGTGATATATTGTGATAATTGAGCACTTGAGGTGCAATTCATAAGATGTTGTGATATTGGCGTGTGATATTGTTGAGAGGTTTGTCTGGGTGTTTGCACGAGGTTTCTGCTGTGCTATTGTTACTATTGATATATGCACATGCGGCGAGACAAGGCGAGCTATATATGTGGGTTTGCGCATGTGGCATGACAATGTGGGGATATTATTATGCGCGTGCGGCAAGACAAGGTGGGCGTTTACTTTATTATTGTGCACATGGCGAGACAAGGTGGGCTATGTCGGGGATATATTTGTGATGACTTGTGATGGCCTGGGGGCATTTGTTGTTTGTTGAAATTTATTTATCATTTGGACTACGAGGCGGTACCTCGGGAGTTCCCTTTTTGTTGATATTTCTCTATAGTTGCACTTGCCTTTGGTTATTTTATTTTTCCGTAATATGTAATTTCATGTATTTTTTGTGATGTATTATTTGACCTAATATTAAGTGTTTTGTATTGCTTGTAGTGTTGTGTTGGCTTTGACTTTTTCGTACGAGACTTTTGAGGATTTGTATTTCTGGTTTGTAATTATTCTTGATGATTGATTTGATTTTAATAAAAGAAATTGCTATTATGTTTTAATATGATAAGTTTTACATCCAAATCAGTAGTTTATCTGATGTTTTATTTAAATTGAAATGTCATTTTCTTCACTCAAACTAATTCTAAAATAAACTCATTTCTTTGTTGAATTCTTACTTGGTTTAAAAAATTGAAACCTTACTTTATTGAAATAAACTAATCGTGCGGATTTGATATATTGACATATTTGGTACGAGAGTTGTCCGTGCGGTTGTGATAGAGATATGGGCACGAGGTGCCGTGAGAATATGAAAGGGAGTTGAAAACCGTATTTTATGATTATGATATGAGATATTTATTTGAAAGAGTTTTATATTTGAAGGATACTTATTTGAAGAAATATATTTGGAGGGTGTTTATTCGAAAGAATTATATGTTAAAAGATTTATATTTGAAGGACTTGTTTAATTGATTGTACTTGTGTTTCTTATTCGTCTGAGTAATGATTATGGTGTTTTTGTTGCCTTACTGTTTATATCACTAGTTGATTATTATTGCTATCACTACTATTTATTTTCGATTATTTTTGTATGTTATATTACACATGTTATTTGACTAGTAAGTATCTTGACTGTACCTCGTCACTACTCCGCTGAGGTTAGTCTTGATACTTACTAGGTACCGACTGTGGTGTACTCATACTATACTTCTGCACATTTTTGTGCAGAGCCAGGTAAATTGGAAGTCAGTTGACTGCTAGCTAGCTGTACGGATCTTGCTGTGGAGACTCAAAGGAAACATGTTGTTGCGTTCGCATGTTTCAGAGTCACCTTCTGAAATATTGTTATTATTTCAGTAAATGTTAGGCTTACCTAGTCCCTAAGACTAGGTGTAATCACGACATCCTACGGAAGGAGATTTGGATCGTGACATTTATTTAATTTAGTCATTCCGTACTTCTAACCCTTTCTTCACTCTCAACGAGTTCAACCCTCGTAGGCTCAACTTTGAAACCTCTGATTAAGTATTGAGAGATCTCAAGTATCATACCACATTTCTTGGTGGTAATCTACTTAATTATTGGTTAGGGGCACTTCGGATCCTTTTTCTTGGGCCAATTTGTGCCCGCATTTTTTGAGAAATGTATATTTTAGCTGCTTTCAAAAATAACAGCTCACAAAATAAAAATACACACTTCTCTCTAGAAAATACAATTAGTAGGAGATACTGCATCCTTTTATCAATACAAATATTGTTTGACTCTTGGTTTACTACTGTGTAGAAATACTTTTTAAAAAAAGACCCAAATTTTTTTGCTTCTGTTGAGAGTTGTTCAATAATTTCTCGTGGTCATCATCCAAACTATAAACTACAAATAAAAAATCTTTATCAATAATAAATGCTCTCAAAAGAATAAAAGGATAATATCCTCTCTACATCCCAATAATCAATACCTAGTCCGTCCTAATTTATGGAAAGATAATATCCAGATCCATACAGGATTTTCAGTTTGTCAAAGAAGAAAAAAATTACGAATAAATAGTATAAAAAAACTGCTAATTTTCCTGTACAAGTTTGCATTGACAGTAAAAGTTTCCATTCAAATGCAGGAGGGGAAGGAGGAGGGTGACAAGAGGGCCATATAATACAGTACAGATATAATACAACATCATAGCAATATGTGCTCCTAAGTTTTAAGTTTTACAAAAAAAAAACTGAACAATTTTGCAAAAGCCACCACTTCGCGACGAATGCAACAATACAAGAATATCAATCACTGCCTGCTTCCCATGAAGATCAACGTTACCACTTAGCGGATTTAGATTCAGTGACTTCTCCTTTTCTTTGAACTGCAACCCGACTGCCTGCAAAGATAGATTGCATACAAGTTATGCAGATGGTCCAGTGCAAATCAAGTGTTTTGGAAATGAGAAGTCAAAAAACTTACGAATCATCACAATTTTCTTCACTGCCTAATGACCTTTGTGTACTTCGCAATGGTCCTGAAACCTAGATAAAGAGAGAGAAGGTAAATTACTATAATCAAATGGGCATCAAGAGAATTTCCATATGTTGGAATAGATATACTAATCATAGACCTTTCTAACCATCCGGTTCAACCTTACTGCAAGCAGATCTAAAAACTACCGGGTTTTTTTCTCAATATCTTGCTTTTCAGAAAACTTCAGAGAAGTAATAAAATCTCGGCATTCCCCCCTAATTATTCCCATGTTCATTTCAAGAAAAAGCATCCCTGGCATACACTTAATTACACGACTATGTCTTGTTTACGAACACAAGGGAAACCTCAAGCTTCATTCAGAATTCGTTCTATCAAAAAGATAAAGGGCGGCCCGGTGCACTAAGCACCCGTGACCTTCTGGTCACATGGTAGCAACTTTACCAGTTGCACCAAGGCTCCCCTTCCTTCTCTCAAAAGATCCTTTTGAAAAATCTTTAAAATGACGGTCAAGGATGATACAGAATGCCAAAGAATATAACATACAGAATGAAAAATCTTCTCAAGCTGAACCTTTTACAGTTGTTGAAAATTCAAGCCGACAAAGCATGCTTGATATATTTATTCTATAATACAGAATATAAGAAAAAAAGCATCAAAGAATACTAACAGGGTGGTGTGATCTTTTGCTTCCTCTGCTATGAGCTTCAAGATACTCTTCATACGTCTGCATCAAGAGAAAAGAATTGGAAAAACAACTTGTTTCGGTAATATCTTAATTATGACAACATGAGTTAATGGTGGATCTACCAGCTACACAACATCGCCCATGAGGTATTATACCTTTTATGAAAATGTAAAGTCCATGAAGTATTAAAGTACCTAGTTTTAAAAACATCCTTCAAACTTAAATCCGGGAAGAACAGAATATACAACCCACTGAGTTTATAGCTAGGAGCCAGGTAAATCTATATGATGTATTAAATACATAAGAAATGCAATGTCTTCATAAGAGCCAAAACGGCTTAAATTGTAGCAGCCACGCAACTTGTTCAAGAAAGAGAGGGACACACACACGCAAACAGAGATGGAGAGAGAGAATGACGGGAAGGGTCGTGGCACCTGCTAAACAAAGTGCACGTTATTAGTAAGGGTCTTTAATCATTACTGGTCAATATAATGATATGCTATCTAGGGACTGATGTAGGATGAGTGAAGAGATTAAATTAGGCAACAGAAGACGAGCAAGTTTTGGATGATATAAATAGAATTTTGCATGCTGAAAGTTACATAGAGAATTTGAGGTTCTACTGCCTGTCAGATGGGCAAAAAGAAAGGATAGCCGGATATGTAGGAGGACTAAAAGTTCAAGGCAGGTAACATTAAGTAGCAGAAAACTTGAAGCTCTAGTCCTATCATATCGGAAATATAAGAAATAGTGTGAGGTCGTAGAAACGGGGTATGAGCGAACAAGTTTTGGCGGTGAGGTGGGAGACAATGAAAAGAGAAGAACATCGACGAGTCCCACCTAGCATTTCCTTGGACTAGAAGCACCAAAGAAGAAAAAACAAAAGCATCACCAACAAAATAGGAATAACCTGATAACTTTCCACTCTAACCAGTTCATCATATCTTTAAGGATTACTATTCAAAGAAAAAGTAAACTTCCATACACTGACTTCTAACACTACTAGGATTCCCAAGTAAAATTAGGAAACTAAATAAATTAAAATCTAATAATCCATTTAGCTACAAAAAGTTCACTATATACATAAAACACCCTACAAAATAGGAATAACCTGATAACTTTCCACTCTATCCAGTTCATCATATCTTTAAGGATTACTATTCAAAGAAAAAGTAGACTTCCATACACTGACTTCTAACACTACTAGGATTCCCAAGTAAAATTAGGAAACTAAATAAATTAAAATCTAATAATCCATTTAGCTACAAAAAGTTCACTATATACATAAAACACCCTACACTTCATAACAATAACTTAATATGATTCTTGATTCAACATCTGTGCATTACGGCTAATCACGTCAAAGAAATTGTAAGTCATTACACTTGTGTGTCTTATGATACAAACAGAACTGAAAGCCCCACTACAGAAACAGATGATAAAAAGTCTAATATCAGAAAATCTGGCAGTCCTTTCAAGTTCAAAATTACAAAACTTGACAAGTTCTTGCACATACCTCCTAACACTAGACAACCAACGTATAAGACACACACAAAGTACAGCTTCATATTCATTCAAAGAGGAGGATGCTATATATCAAATAACCAATTACAAACTACAGAGAAATCAAGCTTTAATGACCGAAATCATCAGTGAATTTTGAAAAATGTACACAAGACTATTTCATCTTCATGGAAATTACAAGAGCATCAGTAAGTAAAATCAAGAGTAGACAAGAAACACAAACCATTTCAAGAATGTCATCTTCAGTCAAATTACTCGCAAGTGGGCTCCTTTCTGCTGACATACCCCACATGTTGATTCGAGGACCCACGTCAGGGTCTATATGAAGATTAGCAAGGCCTTCGTTTCTCTGTGAATGCCTTGATTGTTTCGACTTCGATTCTTCCCCTGATGCAATGACTGACTCCTCCGCAGCAAATACACCATTTATTCTTTGAGGTGCTACGTGCAGTCCATTACCATTAACTTGATGTTGGTAGAGAAAGGAGGGATAAAGCATGGACCCCATATGTAGAGATGCATTACACTCTCCACCCAGAGGATGAACTGTAGGCTCTACATATGGTCTTTTAAAAGAGAGATCATTCCTTGCAAATCTATCCCTGAATGAGCCAATAACTATTATAAAAAGAAAAATCACTTGGACCAATTTTTCCAGAACTCTAGCACTAATTCAAATTTGAGAAAACACTCTTATGTTTCCAAATAACAGAACAGAAACAATATTTCAACTTTGGGGAAAGGGCTATACATTTTCAAATTAACATCCAACGCATCTTGTCCATCAAGGAGCTCACATAAAGCTTCACCAATATCTGGAGGTAACTCCTGACAGCAGTACATGTACCAGAGTCATAAAAGCCTCTTTACTAACAAGAGTACATGGAAAAAATAACCTAATAGTACAGTGACAAGAATATAACCCATGCCTGGCAATCTCTACTAATTTTGACTGGTTTGTAGTCATTCCATGGATTCTTAAGGTGAAGAGTTCTTTGGAAAGGCAGATCATACAATCGCAGCCATTTTACTTTGAAGCTGCGACCCCAAGGATTACGTCCACCATTTCCTTGACTCCAAACTTGGTCTCTTCTCCAACCAACAGTAGAAATCATTTCGGCGTACCCTTGAAAGAAGCCACTCATGTTGACACTAAATATTAGTATCACCTTGCTGGAATTCTGCCCAAAAAAAACATGTGTATTTGTCTGTACTGTAAGATATATGACAGGTTTTCATAGGAAAATCGACTTACATTAAATGCTTCATCCAGAATTGGCTCATTCATGACTTGAGTTGCCCAAATCCCTCTGTTTACTGATAACTGGATATTTTCATGGTTCAAACTCTTGATTATGAAATATCTTATGCCATAGAATTTACCATTTCCAATTGCACCTGAAATTCCAATCTGCTGACATGAATTTGTGCGCTCTTCTGCTCTAGAACGACATGTATCCTCATTTGCTCTGTAGCTTGGAGTATCTGAAAAAAGAGTGCACATTTTATTGATTAATGTCCACATATACTTGTAAGAAGCAATTCATAAACTATCATTTAACTAGCACTGCCATTTCAATAACATGGAAGCTACAGGATATATGAGAACGTGCATCTAACAACAGTCTTAAAAAACAGTACCTAAAAGTAAGAAAAAGAGGCATTATTCACAACAACAAATAATGGAGGAAGCACAGGAACTAGCTTGAACTGCTTGTGCATAGAAATTAATCATCTGGTTCCAACATCTCAAAACATCTCCTAGAAGAAAATAAATGAGCACACAGCCATTTTCCGCGAAGTTACTAATAACTATCGATACAAGATTCAGTAAGTAAAACTTGACAAGTTAGATTGTGGTAAGGCTCTTGAATAATATAATCAAGTTGAGATAGGAAAATGAATAACAAGGTCAAATATTATAATGACCCCGGGGCTTCGGTCTAGTTGAAACAACGCATTGTGGGATAGGCACATGTCAGAAGTTCGAACCTTGCCGCAGACAAAAGCTTGGTATTTAAGTGGAGAAGGGTAGAAGGGCGGGCTTTTATCCACCGAGTTTCAAACATTGCACCACTGGCCTCGGGGTTTTTTCAGTTATCAAAAGAAGTATTATGATTAACGTTGATATACTCATGTTGCACTTACTATAATGGATGAATACACCAAAAGGAGCAGGAACTAGAAGAGAAAGGAAGTTGGGATAAAATAAGTAAATGCTTTACTTGTTTTTGGATCCCAAAGGAAGGCCTAGATATTTAGTAGGTAGGTTCTGTATTCCACATTCCAAGATATTAAAATAAGTAAATACTTTAAGAATCCAATAAGCTGATATTCCAAAAATATGAGAGAGGGAGAAAGAAAGAGGATGTGACAACCACAAAATAGGAACAGGACAGAAGGTGAAAAGCTCTCTACAAGTCTCCAAACAATTTCACGTAACCCGCAGGTTCACTATTGGTGCCTTGAAATTGCATTGCAACATCCAAGTTGAGAAGCCCTTTTTATTTCTCAAGTGAAGTTCCAGCTAAAGTAAACTAAACCTGACCATGTTTGGCCATCATTTGACCTATTCAAGCTTCTTAAACTGAAAAGTTATGAAGTATTTATTGCTCCGTCAATTTCAAAGCAAAGCCAACAAAAAACATACTCGAGGGATGACACCACTTTTTCGAGGGGAATTAAAATTGTGCATCTAAATAACTATCTTATGCATACAAATTCATGGAGGGTGTAAACCTAGTAACAAATCTCCATGACAGCCATTACTATTCAGACAAAAAATAACATGCAGAATTGAATCATGAAGAGATTTAGCATCATTTTTACCTGGTTTACTGCATAGACCTAATAATGTCAAACCAGCTTACACATACTCAAGAAACTATGCAAGTAATTGAAGCTCTTCGTGTCATCACTAATTACTGACTAGTGGTAAACCATGTGTCACCAAATCTTAACAGCAGCAACAACTACTCAAATAAAAATCCAAGACAAATATCCAACACGATGACTAAATTAAGAAGAGATTTAGCATCACTTTTACCTGGTTCATCCATATTCCCTCTTTCATTTTTCCATTCAGTCACTGAAGAATCAACTACAGATGCATTTTCTTTTGCAGTATCTGACGACATATGTTGCTTACAACCTCCTGCCAAAAAACCCCAGTAGAATGACAGTAGAATTAGTTTAGAATTACAAGAACTCAAAGTAGACGGAAAAAAAACATCTGAAGGTAAAATTAGAAAGAAAACCTTTAGAAAATAAATCCAGGAATACAGTCCCTTATCAAAAAAAATAATAGTAAATCGGGAGTACAGTAAATAATTATAGGCTCGGCCACTCAGCCTGTTCATAGTTGTTTTTTTCAATATATGGTAATTTGCTCCATTGATGACTCAAACCCACAACCTTAAGGTTGGAGGTGGAGATGCTCTCCACACTCTGTCCGTATATATTTGTTTGTAGAGCATAGAGCAAATGTAGCATGAAAGGAACAAACAAAGAGATTGCAATGATCAGGCTTGTCTCTCTAGCATACTGTATGAAGATTATCCTTCAGAAAATAGCAAAGCATAGAACATCTTAGACCGTTAAATTCGGATAACTAAAAGATAATTCTCACATGGAATCATTTTAAAATGCAATAACAAATTATCATGAATCAAATCCAATACTAGTACACATTCACCAACCTTCAAACAAATAGAGTTTGATGTCTCAACGTGACATTCCAGAAATATAGAAACTAAAAGTCCAGAAAATTCATCTAATGTGAAATAACTGGAACAAAGAGAAAAAGCAGACTAAAGTGTTGAGTTAATCAAAGCTCGATAATCGGGAGAAGAAAACGGAACTAGCATATGTAGAGTGAAGTAACAAAAATTGCTTCCTTCACTTTTTCTGCCAACCCCAATCTTCAAAGCCCTATTTGACCTTGAAACCTAGCACACAACGTTGAGTTCTATTCAAACGTCGTTAGAGCGCTAACTATTAAAATAATAATTAATTTAGAGCGCAAGACAAAGTCATGATAGGCGAGAAATCACGCGCACATGGTTTAGCAGTTTGTTAGGACAGATAAATTGGAAAGCTAGGACGAAATAGCCTACCTTGAATACAGAATCAATTACCAGACGGACTGGCTGGCCCACTTGTTTATCAATACCATTAACAGTACGCAACAAAGCCTTCAAGCATCATACCGTAGATTGTGAATGCTATAAAGTTCATAGTGATAGAAAAACTAAGGTCACTTCAGAAAACCTAAGTAATTCAAGTTATTTTCCCCAAAAAGGGCAACTTTAAAAGGACGTTTCTTGTTGTACATGCTTGAACTATTTGGTCATGAAGCAATTATGGATGTTATAAACTAAAACACATCATTTTTAGCGGCAAATGCACGAGAAGAAGCTTTAATAAGAGCATATGTTCTCGCATCATTTATTTTTGAAACTTCAAACAACAAGAACCCCGTTATATTGTTCCATATAAGAACAAAACATATAAATTCAACTTTGATACGCCTAGGTTTTCAACGTCCATATCTAGCAGACACTTCAAGATGCTCTATATTACATATGTGAGAAAAGTAGAAACCAACTTACAAGACAAAGGTCATCTGACAAAATTCAAGGTCCAGCATTCTAAAGATATCTTCCTAATTATGCATTTTCGCTAAGAAAATATTAGGATTTATAAAGATAGCAAAGAGTCAATCCCCACCCCAAAATCCAAACCCTTCTCTAGTGTGAGGCAATGATCAAATTCTTATTATGTATGGCACACATGACTTCCAGAGTTGTTCGTGTCTGTTGGATGTTACGCTTCAAATTCAGCCCACTTTTAAATTAAAGTTCAAGTTTTTTTTACGTTTAGTCCAATTTTATTCATTTTCTTTTGATTCAACTAATTTGATTTAGCATTTTGAGTTTTCCACCTGACAGCTCATGCCCAAAGAACTTCTCCCTACTATAAACTATCTTTTCATACATTCTGGATGTGTAATGGTTAAGACTATCTTTTGTGAACATTTAATTTTCTTCTTCAGTTGCCTTTTTCACTCCCCGCCTTCAATGCAAAGGCGGATTCAGGATTTGAACTTTATGGTTTCAAGTTAGGAATTCTACCGAAACCCCTTCAATTTACTGGATTCAAAATCTATAGCTCATACTTATTTAATAAAACTTTTAACATGAGCGAGAGTTACTGGGTTCGGATGAACCCGTAACTTATGCACTACATCTGCCTCTGTTTCAGTGTAGCTACTGGCTACACAAAATGAACTCTTAGATATCACACTGTACATAACAGTGATCAAACAATAGTCGAGTACGTACCATTAATTCTTCAACATTGTAATGAAATGCTCATAATTTCAAAAAACTTCAACTAAAATTGACAGCTACAGTTTCTTCATCTTTCTTTTTTTCATGATAGAGAAATCTATCTGGGCCAACCCGCAGCCTTTGATACTCGGGGATAAAGGGTCCGCCCTCTGACCTTCTCCACTTAAATATCAGATTTAGTTCGTTTTTCATTTTTCTTTGTGAAGAAGAAAGAAAAGCCCCACAAAACCCACATGATAAAACAATTCAGTCAGCAAATTCTTTCACTAAAAATAATTCATGTACAACTTCAACATTGTAAATAAAATGCTCACAAAATTCAAGAAACCCACAAACCCACATGATAAAACAATTCAGTCAGCAAATTCTTTCACTAAAAATAATTCATGTACAACTTCAACATTGTAAATAAAATGCTCACAAAATTCAAGAAACCCACAAACCCACATGATAAAACAACTCATTATGCAAATTATTTAACTAAAAATAATTCATTTACAGCGTCATTTGTAACAAGAAGAAAGGGAGTGACCAAAAAGGATTATCTTTTTCACTATGTAAATTTGGGTTTAGGGTTTTCTAAAAGTTATTTTATGCCTTGAAATTGAAAATGAAAGAGGAATTTATTTACCTTTAAAATTGAGAGAGAGAGAGAGAGAGAGTTGGGGGTTGGAAGTTGGAGCGAAGGAGCAGAGTAGCGTCCAGTTTGATGGAGATAAGCTGTGCCCTAATTTGGCCCCCAATTTGCCCAAATAATACTTATTGGTTTCATTTTGAGGAAAAAGAAGAAATATAATATGAGTGAAATATATAAGATATCATTATACTTATATCTATAAGCATTAAAAGATTTTTGTCTTTTATGAATAATAATTCTTTGGTCCTTGGTCCTAAAATTGCTAAGTAATTTTTTATTGTCTCTCTTTTTATTATGTATAGATAATATAATATATAATATATAGATACCTCCTTTAATATAACATAGATAATATAGATTTCTTACTTCGTCTAAAATATATATATATATATATATATAATGTATCAATATTTTGATTTTTTTTTACATTATATGGAATAAGAAATTATACTTTTCTTTTATTTTATTTTCAGTATAAAGTTTTAATTTTTATATTTTTTTATTCCGTCCATAATATATGTTCTTTTATTATTTTGTATAAAATGTATCAATATTTTAGAATTTTTTTCTACATTATATGGAATAAGAATTAGACTTTATGATAAATAATGTATAATTTAATTTTATTAAAATATAAATTCAAAAAGAAACTAACTATTATCTAACCTAACTAACTTTGTCCTAAAACTGCGAAGTTGTTTTTTTATGTTGCGACTTGGCTTACTATGGAGTCTTTAATTGCTTCTCCTATTATATATAGATAGATTATATGGGATAAGCAATTGGACTTTTCTTCTATTTTATTTTCAATATAAAGTTTTGATTTTTATTTTTTTTCACTATGTTGCTTGTAATTATTTCAAATTCAAATTAGATTTTTCTTCTATATTTAAATTCAAGCTCAAAAAGAGTAACTAATTATTAATAATAAATAATGCATAATTTTATTTTTTTAAAATTAAATTCAAAAAGAAACTAATTTTTACCTAACCTACTAACTTTGTCCTAAAATTGTCAAGTGACTTTTTATTATGTTGTCACTTGGCATACTATGGTGTCTTTGTCTCTCCTATTATATGTAGATAGATTAGTGCAACATACAATAAACCAGCATAAAATTTCAATTTTTGGTAGAAAAATACATTTCATTCATCGTATCCACGTCAACTTGCCATCAAAATATTACCTTTGTTGCTGGTAACACCCAAGGTTAAAGTTGGAAACAAAAATTTATCTAGCTTTAAACCAAATACATGTTTCGAATTATGCATTGCATATCTTATTCTTAATCTGCCACACTGTGAAAGTTTGGTAGAGTGTGGTGAAAGTGAGGGTAAGGAGAACTGTATCTATATCCAAGAATCAGTTTGGTTTCATGTCGGGTCGTTCGACTACGAAAGCCATCCAACAAGGTACCTAAGGAGGTTCTTTGAAGGTGTTTGGAGGCTAAAGTTGTTCTGGTAGCATACACTAGAGTGATTAAGGGTATATACGATGGAGCTAAGACTCGGGTGAGGACAGTGGGAAGAGACTCAGACCATTTTCCGATTGGGACGAGGTTACACCAAGGATTTACACTCAACCCGTTCTTGTTTGCATTGGCGATGGACGCACTGGCGCATCATATTCAGGGGAGGTGTCATGACGTATGTTATTCGGTGATGATATAATATTGATTGATGAATCGTGAGACGATGTTAATGAGAAGTTGGAGATTTGTAGACATACTAATTAAACGAAGCATATAACACTAAATAAACTTGAGATTATTAATTTTTGAATTATAATCACAGTATAACCTTGTCGCGAACCAAACCACCTCTTAGTTTGTAGAATTTAATATAAAGCCTTGATCGAACAATCTCACGTGGCAGATGCATGAAAGCAACAAGCATCCACGTGTCAACCAAATGTAGGATCCTAGATTCTAGACAAAAATCATAAAGCTGACTTGTCAAATTCTGTTACATCAAAAAACAGTTAAAACCGGGAAACGATTTTCTTGAATTCAAAAAAATCAAGACAAAAGCTTTTCAACATTCAACACTCTCCACACATTCATACACATAACCTTATCTTCATCTCTTATCAAAACTCATCAAATTCTCCATTTTTCAGTTTTTTCACAAATGCAATATTCACTTCCACTTCACTCCCTCCACCACCACCACTGCTGCCGCCGCCGTCGCCGCCGCCGCCACAAATGGCCACTAAATTTGGATTTACTATAACTAGCCCTCGCCTTTTTCATGGCCCTTTCAGGAAAAAACCAATATTTTCTTCATCTTCAGCTTCTTTAGAAGATGTTTCATTCTGTTCTTCAAATCTCAAATTAATTAATTTTGCTGGAAGAAAGTTAGCTATAAAACATAGGGTATTGGTTCTCTCTCCTAAGGCCACAACTGACCAGCCAGGTAAATCAATGAGTTATCATCTGCATGTCCTTCTTTATGAAATTACGGATTAATCTTATCGAAAGATTCACATGTAATTTTTTATTAGTGACATGATTGTGTAAATATTTTTATACTAGTCCATGTATATAACTTAAACTATTTTTTTTTCTTCTTTGATCAAAGTTTGATTAAATTATAAAGGGTTTAAGTTGTGTAAGCTGACGATGTCAAGAATTTGTACTCTATCGTTGGAATTTGACTAGTTATAGTAGATTATTACTCTATTTTTCATGTTACCATATTAGGTTTGATATGTAGAGTTGCATATTGTGGGTCAACGTAATCTGATAGTGTAAATATTCTTTAAACTGTTAGTGCACAGAACACAAGCTCTATTTTGAATATTTTTAACATGTAGTCGGCCTACTATAACACTTCTCCTTTACCGGTTAACGTATAGGAAACTCCAATATGTTTAAAAGATAAATCATTTATCACTATGGTAATTAAATGTGCTTGAAAAAGGTGGAATGGATATAGAGAATTCATATAGCAGAACCCAACTAGTTTGAACGGAACGAACCTGAAATGAAGGGAATGGATACATAGAATTCATACAGCGGACTCCAAGTAGATTGAGATTGAGGAATAGTTGTTGATTGACATTTGATAAAGTATATTCTTGCTATAGGTAGGCCTGTTAGTTGCTGCTTCTTTTTCTATAACTCAAAGAAAGCAATTATTATGTATCATTGATTTATTGCAAGGCCAACTTGATGTTGCTGCAAATAATAGTGATTTTCTTGGCATAACTAACTAACCGCCCTAAGCTTGACAAAGAAGATGCAATCAATCTTTCCATAATCTGTCTCGTGCTTTTGCTATCGATCAATTTACAATGCCTTATTCCCAAACATAGGTTCTTTGTATTCTTGATGCTTCAATGAAATAACAAACTTCATTGACCCTCAAATGTTGGTTCTATACATGACACAGTCCTAAGCTCAATGAGGAATCAACAAATGAATAGAGATAGAAAGAAGTAATAAAGTGAGACCAATATAGAGACAATCAACAACTGATGTTTTCATATGAACTGAAAAACACTCTTATACCTTCTCTCTCTCTGTGTATGTTTGCTCTATGTTTGTATGTTTTTTCCTCTTCTCCAATTTCTTCTTTTTATGGTGGCGTATACCACATCATTTGAAGACTCACTTTTGCTTTCAGGTCAGCTCAATGAGGATGAGGTTGAAGACAGTAAAATCATGCAATATTGTAGCATTGACGGGAAAGGAAAGAAATCTTTAGGAGAAATGGAGCAAGAGTTTCTTCAAGCACTGCAAGTAATGAAGCAGAATCAGTTACTAATTCGTCGATTGTTTTCATTCTCATTCTACTAAAGTTAACTAACTCTTTCTTGGTTCTGTACCACAGTCATTCTATTATGAAGGAAAGGCGACCATGTCAAATGAAGAATTTGATAACCTTAAGGAAGAATTAATGTGGGAAGGGAGCAGCGTCGTCATGCTAAGTAAGTAAGAATTTCTGTCTGTTTATGTCTCATTGGCACTTAAAATAGGTATAGTAAGAGCAAATTCCTAACAATGCAGGCACTGATGAACAGAAGTTTCTGGAAGCTTCTATGGCTTATGTATCTGGGAATCCAATTATGACTGATAAAGAGTATGACAAGCTGAAGATGAAACTTAAGGTACTTGGTTATTAGCATTATAAAGTCAGACCTCTCTATAACATAATCGCTATATAACAGTCATTCACTATAAAAGTCAAGTTTTTTTATGGAATCAATTTTTATATTATACTATAATATATGTTCTCTATAACACCACTTCGTTATATCAACCAATAAAATTCGGAACAAATAAGGCTGTTATAGAGAGGTTTGACTGTATTATTTATTGTTCTTGATAAGATAAGAGAAGATCCAATAAATGAAAAAGATTTGTTATTTTGACAGTTTTTTCAAAAAAAGCAACTGATTTTACTGTATAATACTGAATGTGTTGTACTTTCTTTTCCTATCACCATTTAATTGGTAGTTTAAGCTTATCAATTTATGAAGTAGTTGAACTATGTTAGTCATTGCTATTCTTCAACTTATTGCCCTTACAAATATGAACAAATCAAGTTAGTTGTTACCGTTCTTTCTGTTGCTTTCTTTGTTTCTTATAATATCGCGGACTTATGTAGTTTTTCCTGTATTGACATCTCTTAATTTTTCAGAGGGATGGCAGTGATATTGTGGTTGAGGGTCCTCGGTGCAGTCTTCGAAGTAGAAAGGTTTGTACTACTTTTCTGCTCAATGAGACATTTACTAGCTGGTTAATAGGTACTCATCTTTTATATTGCATCTGTGAAAATACTTATTTTGTGCCATCATACATTCGAAGAGGATCCTTGGAGTCTCCGTGTGACTATAGGTCATGGGTTCGAGCTGTGGAAGCAACCACTAATGCTTGTATTAGAGTAGGTTGTCTAATACATTAGCTTCAGTCTGCGGCAGATCTGCGGTCTGCAGATCAATTCTGCAA